GGTGCGATTTCATTCTTTTCGATCACACTGTTTGCTCCTGTTGATACAAATGAACTCCCTCGTCTTTTTCAAAAAGACGGGTCGGGCAGGCTTTTTCGGTCACTCCTCATCCGTTGTAGCCGATGATGAGCCTGATTTCTTGCCTTTTTGCACGCCGCAAGGTTGCCTTGAAAGGTGAAAATCTGAAATTCCCCCATAAGATTTTTTAAAGGTTTTTTGTTGCCACGTGTCTATCTCGCATGCACAAACTGGACGCGAGGATCTTTATGTATGCATGGCCAGCTGTTGTTTGTCGCCAAAACCATGCTGCACTGTCATTTTATTCACAGAGCAGCATATGGCTGAATGACTTTCCATAGGACATTGTATACTCATTCAAAGTTATTTAGTTTTACAAGTCCTTTTTTTTTTTTCCTCAGCTATTTTCATCACGTTTCTAGTGTGCGTCTTATTACATCAAACGGTCCCTTGAGGAATTTGAAAACTTCACATTTGCAGTCTCTGGATGATTTGCCCTTGCCATTAACCGTGCCAGGCTCTTGAGTGTTTTCAGTCATATTTTGTTTTCCTTTCTTTAACGAACATATCATTACCAGATGAGCAGTCTATCATCAAAAGCCACAAATGAGTCCATCAAGAGACCTGTGACCCACCCAGATGTTGAAAAATTTCTCTCAACCACCACAATACTGACACATCTATTGCCACTGAAGACAAGTTCATTATTTCATACAACCGATGTAAAATGTGAGCAGTTTGAAAGTACAGTTTTTATTTTAGAACACAAAGACGTATGACAATGAAAGATGTTTACAAAAGCCAACTTATGTCCTTCGCCATCCCTAGCAATTTTCATAAAGTGAATTGCGCAGTGCTAAAAATATCACACACAATGGCATACATAACACATCCTTCAAAAATGAAGACTATTGTTCATGTCTCGGTTGAAAAGAGAATTTCACTCACTAAATGTACTCACATAAAAGCATAGTCACATAATCATAAAAAGAGATCTTTTTTTTTTAAGTTCCAAATGTGTTGGAATGGAAGAGATGATGATATACCAAATGAGCATAATCCGTGCAGGGAATGGAGGAATGGATGTTCTCTTGCACTCATTTAAGCAGAAAGGTTGATGCACTCCCCAAAACTGACCTGGGCAATTAAAACATGAAGGTACAAAAAGGCTCAATTTATTTTCAGGTGTCATTTTTATTTATTTATTTATTTATTTTTATACTGCTTCACAAAAAATTGACAAAGCGCAAACACAAAGAGAATGTTCCAAACTGCATCCTTTGACCACAATTACATCCCCCCCCCCCCGACAATTTCTTTGATAGCAAACACCATCGCATAAGAACAAATAATAATGACCAATGATTTTAAATCACGTTGGCTGGCTCTTTCGAGAATCAAATTCATACCCTTGTCTGAAAAAAAAAAAAGACACATTTGCTCACATTTCACCTCTGGAGGGGGTGTGTGTGAAGGTTTGAAGGAGAGGGCTGAATCAACATTTGGGTGTTTTATTCTGACCCCTCTTTGATCCACTCTCCTTCATGTCCTGAAATACCCTATATTTATGAATTATTTATCTTACATTTGAAAATATTAAACATAAAATGTCCTTGTTCCGTGGCTTATCTCCAAGGGCATCGTAAGAAGCCATAAAGATGGGGAAAAGAACCCCGATTGAATAGCCTCTGACAGCATTTAAACCAGACAAATTGCAAATGTCAACACTTATGTTTTATCACTTGTATTGTATTATATATATAATATATACACACACACACACACACACACACACACACACACGCGCGCACGCGCACACGCACACACACACACATAAAAACTGTTTCGTGTTGCCTTGCCTGTGCTTAAATACAATACTTTTATTTTACGCATATCATTGGGTCAGTTTTGAGCAAACTGAACATTTTATTTCATGTTCACTCATCAAAAAAAGGACATATATGCACGCAGTGCTCTCTCTCTCTCTCTCTCTCTCTCTCTCTCTCTCTCTCTCTCTCTCGCTCTCTCTCTCTCGCACACACATACACACACACACACACACACACACACATAGTTCAAACCATGTCTCGAGTTATTTCTACCTCAATAATTCAATCCTTATCTGTACTCTCCTCACAAGAACAATGACAGCTTTTATGTTTACATTTTTTTCCCTCCAGGTTATTCTTGTGGTAGGCAGCCACTAACAAAAGCATAATTAGCTGATGATTGCATTTTGGAACCGCTGCATTCGCTGTATCCAAAGAGGTTTCTTGTGAACGCTCTTAAGGACAAACTTGTATGAATTATTAAGAATCCTATTCATTTCACTGGTTAGTTTTTCAATTTCGTGTTTGGTATTTTTCGTTCCGCCATGTTGGAGGTGGAGATTGGGATAAGCGACACTTGGAATGGAATGACTAGTCAAACAAATCATGGGTGGGGTTTTTCAGGTTTTTTTATTTTCTGTACGACTCTAATCAGTTAACATCAAATATGGGACACATTTTCCCACCTCCTTTGATGTGCGAAAATATGTGCTAAACATTTTCAGACATCTCTCACCACCTAACTGTGTTTTAGAACTTATGTTAGCTAAAAAGGTAACATAACCTAACATTAGCTTCATGTTTAGAAAACTGTTAGCATATATATATATATAT